GTAAGGCGATCTATCAATCAGTCGGCTGGTCGCGCATCGAGGAAAAAAGTCGCATATGTAGCTCGCTCGCCTCGTTGTCGGCGCATTCGCACGCAATTAACGTCTGGCTCTCGTTCGCCGCGAGTACCGACGAAATATAGGTACGCAATAATGTGGCTTTAACGAGCTGATTTACCATTATTATGCGGTATTTTAGTCGCTTGCGTGAAAAATGCCTTTGTACGCGAAATTTACGTAAGCGCCCGAGAGTCAACTTTACGTTAAGTAAAAGTTTCACAAATTATTCGAGAAGCAAAATAAGTCGGAAAAGACTCGTGTCTAAGGCGTGCGCGCATTTTCATTCATAAATATCAGCGAAAACGGCTTAATTTCGACGGGTGCGCGCGAATAAAGTTGCACTCACGAGGGTGTTCGCAAAGCTCTTACGGAGCAGCACAGCGGCGGGGCTCGTGAAAAACGGGCCGACTGCTTGGCGCATTTCAGCCGCTATACATACACACGCGTACGTCGGCTATGGAGAGAGAGAAGCGCGCGAAGGGATAGCGAGTAAGAGATACGATGATGGGGCAAATGGCAGTGAAATAGTAGTATAAGGAGGGTAAAGATAGCGTATATACATACACGTGCTGCGCACTGAAAATAAGAAGAAGATGTGTGAAAAATCGCAGCTGCGCGCCACCGTCTCTACTGTCTATACTCATGGGGTACGTAGGAAAAAAAGCCAAAGCAATATTACACGAGCTGCGCCCGCGCGCGCGAATGATATGAAGTTATGTTACGCCGATAGAATAACGCATTATTCAGACGGCAAAAGCCCAACGCAGGCACTCTGCCAAAATAATTACATCGCTAGACGGCTGGAATTCGTATCTGTATGCTTTTGCGAGCTCCGGGAGATGCGCCATCTGCAAGTACGATTCGTAATTGAGTTACTTATGAAAAGTTGGGCCCGTCTCTCTTTATGCATAATTCGAAGCGAGCGCGCGTGAAAAGGCGAATTGGACGATGCTGTGTACCGATTGATAGTCGCTCGACTCGACCGTCTTTTTTACGGCTTTGTATAGTAGGCTCATAAAACTAGAATAGAACAGTAACGCTGGTAAATCATGACTAATCACGACACTAGCTAATTCGAAATTTTTATGAATCGTAAAAATAATGCAAACTGCCTCTTAGAGATAATCCCGTTAATATTCGGAAAAAAGAACACGATCTATTCGTGATATCCGACTGCGTGCACGAGAGGCTGATAAATATCGGGTTGGAATGTAACTAGTCTCTTGCTCAAGTTGGCGATGCACAAATCTCACGAGCTCGCGGAGGAGGAGGAGGAGAAAGCAGGAAATCATAAAATGCTGGAAAAAGCCCCGCTCGAGTTGCTACTCGACCTCCAAGTCCCCCCGCGCATGTGTGTGTTTCGCTCGTTCGCTCTATCTGCCGTACGCGCGCCCAAACCACAAAGTCGCACATAATCCACGATAAATAGCTAAATGCTAGACTCGCGCGTCTCTCTTGCTTTATTTATAAATTCAAAATACTGGCTCGGAACCGTATAGAAATTCTATATAGCTCTTCTTCTGCTTTATCCGAGCCGTACGTGCATTTCGATCCTTGGATTCAGTCGTACACGACCAGTTGAGCCCGCATCCGAACGAGAGCCTAGAGATGCCAAGTCAGACGGTGTGCAAACGATCGTTAAAACCTCTGTTATTGTTTTTCGAGAGTCCGTATAGTGGCGTTCGTATAGAGGATACGGACAGAAATCGCGAGCAACACACTCGGCGGCCTGTGTCAGCGTGGCGCGCGCGTATAAAGGACGCTTGACGCTTAATCGCTTTACTGAGATTTACGACGTTGGATTTGCTGGTGGTCCTCTGTTTTCGTTGTGTGGATCTTCGATATGCCGTGTGAATGGGACAGATTCAGCGAGAGAGAGAAAGAGGAAAAGATTCGATCGCCAGCCGTCCGACCCACTCTACTATTAACTACCATTTGCAGACCTCGCAGTATGTGTATACGGATACTTGCATAGGATGTAAAATAAAAACGTACTCTTTCTTTTTTTGTCTCCGGTGCAGAAATTGAATAAATTTCAGACTACGGTGCAATAATTCTTCTTACTTTTAGAAAATCTATCGAACGGTCCAACCCTTATGCAGCCATTTTTTCGTCCTCGAATACTATAAAAAGTCGGTAGATCGTTGATAAAAAAAGAGAGAAAGAACGAGAGAGAGACGAGAGAGAAACGAGAGAGAAAAAAGGAAAAGAGAGAGAGAAGCAAAAAAATTCGCTGTATGAAAGCAGGCACTTTAGCTGACTTTGGCATTAACAGTCTCACCCAGGGGATTTATAGCTTAAAGCTCTTGAACAGGGGCTTATATGCGTCACAACTTTGCTGCAGCTATGTGCTATATATATAGTTGACACACACACAGACATACCCACATGTACGTATAAATACATATAGTGGCGCATAGGGCGGGTGTATGTGACACGACGAGAGGACGACGCGTTTGCGTTAAGACCAAAACTTCTCCAATATCGCGTGTCCAACGAAGATCCTGCGAAGCTGCCTTGACGCTATTGCTGCTGTCGGTTATTAAACTTAATGTACGAGTGCAATTAGTAACAGCGAGGCCAGGCGTGTGCAATGACGGCAAATACGCGCGCACGAGGGTGGCAACCTCGTACAATTTCCTCGTACGATTGATTGCTGGACGCACATGTGGCCTAATCCTTTAAGTATTAATGATTTTAATAATGAAATTAATGAAATCTCTGAGTTATATGGCATAGCACCAAGTTCGTGGTCTACTCGCAGGATGTTCGATCCTTCTATTTTCATTTATTGGTTTCTTTTCAAAGAGGGCTCGGAATTCAAACTCTGAAAGAACGTAAATCATTCGATGAACTCTTTGGACGTGAATTTTGAAAACAACTGTCGAAGCGCGACATCGATCAAAAAAGTACATTATAACGTCAGTGACGTGCCCCCATTGGAAATGTATCTCGATCAAAAGTCAGCTAAATAATTTTACGATCGCGTCCCATGTTGCCTACTAGGCTCCATTATTACACGCATCTCTTCATTCGAATCTCATCTCGTGCGCGACGTTGAATTTTATAACCATCGCGCGCAACGACGACGAATCGTAGATGTTATATAAATACTTGTGTAGCTGTAACGCCATCACAGCTACGGAGCAATCAATCATGATGCTCCAGAAAGTAAACGCCCTCCGGCCTCGCTAATTCCTGCGGGATTTTTTTTAATGTCTCTGCCGTTATGATACAGGCGCGCGCGCGCGCGCCAACTTGACTCTGGTGTCGCACGAGGAATTTCGCACTGGCTCTCTCTCGAATGCGTATATAGAGTGTATAGCAGTATCAGCAGAGGGTAGCACGATATTTCAAGCAGCGCTCGGTCCCCTCGTCCGTAGGAATCGTTCGTTGCCTTGGTAACGACAGTCCACCCTTTGTGCGAGGCACACGTACGCACTTACACAGACGCGAACAGCACGCGCGGAGAGAGGGACGGCATTGTGCGCACCAGCAGGCGCACGAGGGTGGTGTACCTACACACGGCCATGTTGAATTCAATATTGGCATTCTGCGAGCATTTCCGAGCTCGATTTTGGGATGCTTTAATGTCTACCTATTATGTATACCGAATGCGTGGGCGGATGACGCAATTTTGCGAATACCTTGGCGTCTTTTCGACACGATAGCATTTAAAAAACTAGTTTTATGCTTTTTCATTGGTTACACGGTTATCGAATTACTTGAAATAAAGGACTTACAACGGACTATAACTTTCTTATGCTGCGTGGAAATTGTTTTTGTTGTGGTTTTTTTTTGTTGTAAGTGACAACATGGAAAATAAAAACATGCGCTGATTTAATGAGTTAAACTTTAACATCTGTAAAATCGAGTTTGATTTATGTTTGATTTACGCGATGCTAATTGCCAAAGAGATTCTCTCTCTGACCAGCCTCCTCCCCTCAGTTGTGGCAATTCAGGGCCGCTGCCGCATATATAGCGTAGGATCGTTTGCGCGATGCAAAACAGGGCGTAAATCACCTCCGGCGGCGACTTTTTGACTTTTACGAACGTGAAAATCATCGCTTTAAGTAACTGCGTGCGTGAATATATACAGGGTACCAAAGCTCGCAGCACACGCTCTCGCACAGACACAGAGAGAGAAGAGGCGCAGTACTGCGTAACGCGCACGCGCACTGCCTTTTTTCGCAGCCGATCCTTGAATCATCTCGATGTGTGCTCAAACTGCGTGTATAATATGCAGCAGATATTTCGATTACGGCTGTCGTAAAAAACTTTCCAGGCTTTAAAAAAAAAAACTGTTTTCATCTCTTTCCTGCTCGTACTCGAGCTCGTTGTGCTCGAGAGAAAGTCACGGTAACTTGCGATGCTAAATTGAGATTCCTCTCGAGAAAAGGGTTTTACTTCGGATGAAAAAAATTTCGAGCGATGTATGTCAGTTTTTTTGACTTCGTTTATGAAAGCAAAATTGAATCTCTTTATACATGCTCTCGTTTCTTAGTTTTGTAGGCTACCTTGTATAGCGTTCTGCTCGGCCCAACCCCTTGAAATTAAAGACATCCGGCGCACTTGTGCTCGCTGCTTCCAGAAGCGTACTGTACCTTTTGTTTTCGTATTCGAAGAGAAAGTGTTAAGAAAAAATCTCGGATATCAAACCTTGTACTTAGCATCGACTATCAAACAGACAACTGATATTTTTACGACATTTCTCCATTTTGATCTCTAGCAACGAGATTCAGCATGTACTGTTTTTCATCTACGACTAACGACACTTGAGTTTCATTCTTAACTACTACTAACAAGCACATGACTCATAGCAAGATCATTTTGATACTTCCTACACTCACTTATACACTTATCCCGAATCTTCCACCATCCGATCACATTATTCACAACAAGAGTTGAGATTTGAACGTCTTTTTTTTCTTTTGATTTTTCAGCAGGTCCCAATGGTTGTCCACGGCGTCGGGGTCGTCAAACGTACACACGCTTCCAGACGCTCGAGCTGGAAAAAGAATTCCACTTCAACCACTACCTAACGCGACGGCGGCGAATCGAAATCGCTCACGCTCTCTGCCTCTCGGAGCGCCAGATCAAAATCTGGTTTCAAAATCGAAGAATGAAGCTGAAAAAGGAGATGCGAGCCGTGAAAGAGATCAACGAGCAGGCGCGACGCGATCGCGAGGAGCAAGAGCAACAGCTGAAGAAGCAACAGAGCGAGAAGGCCGCCAAGCTGCAGCAGGAGCAGCAGCAGAACATTCTGCAGCAACAGCACGTCCAGGTGCAGCATCACGCTCACGGCCTCGACAAGACCCAGAGCGATCTGCTCAAAGCCGTGAGTAAGGGTGTGCCCACATAGGACAGCCTTTTGGGCCGCCTCTACCTGTCCTAGGTGTCGTGGACCGAGCTCGAGTCGCACCAAGCCGCACTGGCCCGACAATTAGCCGCCGCCGCCGCCGTCGCCGCTAGTGTACAAGCTCAACAACCCGATGCCGCACGACTACGTACTTACATGGAGGCTGCTCAAGAGACCCGCAAAAATCCCGATCAGGACGTCGAGGACGACGACGTTGATGCCCGAGAGGACGAGGATGAAACCAAACAAACCGACGACAGCAACGATCCCTAGTTATTGCGAATGTGTGTCACATCTACTCGACTTTTAGGTTATGCTCAACGAACTTTGTTTTATTTTTGTTTTGTATTTTTTAAATGCGTGCCATCGATGATATAGAAGAATCAGCCGCGCGCGCGCTCGATTACTCGTCAAGGACATTGTTGACTTTCGGTCTGTGTCGTGTTTATCGTGGATTTACTACAAGACTGCAGCAGTTTTTAACAGCTTACTATTTCGGAGCACGTTATGATAATTTTACCGCGGAGTTTTATCGTTTAATAAAAAATGTGCAGTGATGAAAAGATTAATGACTCGAAGTAACAAGTGAATTGCATTCAGTGTTAATCTTAATTGAAACAAGAAAGAAGATGAAATTAATTAGGAAAGACTTATTCAGTTGTACATTTATAGTTTAGTTGTAGAATTAGTTAGTTTGCTCCGTTTCCCTCCGACCTAGCAATGTTGATTTTGTGTGATGTTATACAAAGTATGAAATGATATTTAGAGTTTTATTGTGTTCAAGTTATGTCAGTTGTGCTCAAAGTCTTATTTGAACTGAAAAATTTGTACATGAAGATAATGAGGGCTGTAAGAATTTAAAATATTTACTTTGGCTTATTTTTTTATGATTTTTTTTTCAAGTTTGATGAATGCCTTCAACATTTTTTTTAAATGAGTTGTTTTTATTTGTGTACATTATGAAGATGTCGATATTTTCTGTGTTATGCCTAAAATTTTCATTACGTTTCTGTTTGCATCAATATAAATTTTTGTAAATCGTACTTACAAAGCAACGAAAAATGAATTAATCGTAAAATTCTACTTTCATCTATAAAATTTACTCCGTCGTGGATTCGAATTTTCAAATATAATGATAAAGATGAACGTGAAATCAGATACGTACAGAGAGCAAAAGATAAATAATAATCATACGAGTCTCGCTCTAAATGTATTAAATACGTAATTTGGTGTCAGGGTAGACCTTCAGTAAGCCTAAAGCCTGTTGTTGGTATTACTTAATTAGTAAACGCGTAAAAAATCGAATTGGAAAACAAGACTCGATAGTGAACAGAATGAACATTTGTGTTAGAGCATAATTAGAAATGATAATAGATGCGCATTTTGAAGATTGCGAGGTAAAATTTATTGTCCAATATAACCGCAAATACGTAAAATTTAAAAATATTGATAAACAATAAAGAATATAGTGTTAATGAGAAACAAGATTAGTTGGATTGAGCTTTTAGAGAAAAAATACATTTTATTGATTAAGTTTTCATTTCTGATTAATTTTTCAATAATTTAATTATTTATATTTTTAATTGTTTTGAATATTTTTTATCAAAATTAGACAATAAAAAGTAAGAAGTCGTAAAAAGTACTAACCAAAGTTATTTCTCTGCTGCTCAATTTGATTTTCTTATCATAAATTTTCAAAAAATACTCGTAATTTTATTGAATAATAATTACATTTGTGAAATCAAATGATATTAATAAAAAATAATTTAATATACGTATGTAATAAATTACGGGAAAAAACATTCAATCAACACATTCTAACAAAAAACGGCAGAAGTGCAAAAAAATTGTGCAAAAATGGATAAATGACAATGTCTTAAAAATTATAATCTACATATAAAATAAGATGAACCAGATAAACACCCTTTCAAGCTATCGTAGAATAATTCTAACTATGGCAAATATGGATAATTTTTTTCATTGTTAGTCACTTAGTAAAGTACTATTAACAATCAATAGACTTTATGAAAGTGATAAAACAAGTCCACTCCAAAAGAAAGTGAAAAAGGAAACTTACACTCATACTCAGTTAAAAATACGTGTATCTATTATAATATTCCTAGTGTGTAGTTTGTAATGCTGTAATAATAGAATAAATGTACGAGAGGAAGAAAGACTAACCTCCGAGGCGCCAAAATTAATTTAACTTATCACCCCTATGATTTTTAACATAAGAAAGCATTGCAATGCTGCAAAAAATTTGAACCCGTCTGTAGATTGAAAATGACACATGATAATTTAAAAAACGTATCCACAGTTTTATTATAATTAAAACTCGTATACGCCGCGTGAAATTGTAATGAGTATTAGATGTGCACGTATAAACGTTGCAGAGAGCGTTATGTACACATGAAATTTTTAATTTTTAACTGTCGAAAAACGTTATTGGTAGTTTATTGCATAGCTTTTTGATAAATATGAATTCAAATTCAACCTTGAGAATAATAGAAATTATACGTAAAGTTTAAAGTAGTATATTAGATTCGTAATTGTATAAAACTGTTCATACGTACAAAATATTAAAGTATAATAAGATTAATTGCTTTCTTAGTATCGCTTTTTTCTATCATATTCAAATTTTTTCATAAGTTTTGCTTATTTTTGTCTCAAAAATCATTTTATAAAAATTAGTATTTGCGCAATTTTTAAATGATATATTTTCAATATTTTTTCAATATCTAATTATATTTCCTTTTTTGCTTCACACTGTTCATAATATGCCGAATGGTTAGAATTTTTTTTATTCAATCTCAAATAATTTTACTGCACTTGTTTGAAAAATTTTTGTTTTTTAAATTCTCGTAAAAGTAAGTGGTTTAACAAGTATCTTACAATTAAAAATAAAAATTCGAATAATTGCCGGGCTTGCCAAATATGTGATTTTTTGATCACCTACACTTCTCTCGAAACGAATTACTGAGTGATTAATATTAAAGAAAGAAAATTATTAAGTATGTGAAACTGCTTGATTGTTGGAATGAAGTAATTAGGTTTGAGAAATAAATATTACGCGAGTTTGTGTTGAGCGTCTATTGTCCATTGAAAAATTGAAAATTAATTCTTCTCTAAAAATTAATATTATACGTATTAAGTTTTCTCAAAGAATCTCGTGTATAATATGAAATTTATTTGTTATTTAATTTTCTTTATACTTTGAATATTATTGTTTACGAAGTGTTTTATTTATCTGTATAATTTGTATGGTTGTTTCTGTTACTGCGCAAAATGTATTAAGGATTAAAATCGAAGGTGTGTTTGTGTATTTCATAAGGAGTGATTCTGTTTTTCTACATGAATTTCATTATTATAAATACACAGCGTGACATGACTATGCGCTTGTAGCTTTAATTAAAATTTTGAAAATTAGAGAGTATAAGTATTATTAATCGAATACACAATGCTTTAAACGAAGCTCTAAGCGTACGATACTCAATAAACTTCGACATAACTTATTAATACACCGTTAACAATAACTCACAAGCGATGATGTACAAAAGACAAATAAGAATAAAAGGATAATTCATATTGTAATTGTAGTTGATGTTTTTTAGTGTACATTTATAATTATTTTATCTGTAAATTGTTTCTCTTTTACTATATATTATTACTTGTGTCAACATTTTATTTTAGATAATGACCTGCGTTAGTTTTTGTGTTTAAATAAACCTTTCGCTCATAGTTGCTTCAATTGGGATGAAGATTGTAATCTATATAAAATAAAATTTTGTCAAATTTAATTTTTAACATAATTAATTTTATTCATTTCAAATTTATTCATAAAAAATATTGTTCTGTTATAAGAGCGAATCTACAAATATGCATTATCAATGATCCCTTATAAAACATCGATACAGCAGTCTTTATTATGAATAAGCAAGCCATAATATTTTTCGTGTCAATAATTTTGTAATAGAAGTAAACGATAAAAAGCTTTTTGATATCTACACCGAAAGAAAGTAAACAATTTCTTTGTGTTTGTCACAATAGGGTCATGTATTTTTCATAAAAACCCTTAATTCATAAAATTCGGAGTATTTAACATTGTAAAAATTATTATTATTATCATCAATATTTTTATAATTTTTAAGACTTAGTGAGAAAACATCCTTGCAAGCTTGCCCTACATTCAAGAGCGAAATCGAAGGCAAAAAGAAGTGTGCGTGAAAATGAGAATAAAAAGTAATTCAGACGTGAACTTGTTTAGCATGATTGAATGAATGCATTGATATCCAACATAACTACTAAATATGTAATCTCTGAACTACAAAAAACTTTATTAAGCAAAAATAAATGTTTCAATGGTCTTTCATTGCGTTTGCGATAATGATTATTAAAAAGTCTTGCAACCATGGAAAGATTGTAACGAGTATTAGTAAAAGACAGTGATGAAAAACAAACTGTTACAAGACTCATAGTAGTAGTCTTGAACAAATATTTATAATATGGCAAATAGTTAATTCAATGACAATGAATGTAAATGTATCCATTTTTAAAACTTGATGTAGAACTATACTCATAAGTATAACTATATGATACACAACAAAATAAAATCTTACATTCAATTAAAAAGTGGTCTTATTACAAAAGAACCTACATAGTATATTAAGCAACAAGTGCTTGAAGCAGATTACTTACACAGAAGTCGTTTATACCCGAATGTAGCGAGTGTAGCGAGTTCGCAAACAATTCCTGGGTAAGTAATCTTCCTTGTGCACAGTTGCATACGGTAATTTTTAACGTAGTCATCTGCTTCTCCCGATGGTTACGTAATATTCTATTTTTATCCCTTTTCAATGAGTAGATGCTTAGTTGAATAAAAGTTATAGTCATCTAAAAAAAATTGTTTTGTCTTTATTGATTTTTTTAAGGAACCTGCGAGTTTTTGAATGAACTTGTGAAGTAAGTCAGTGAGTATGTTGAAAAACGCAGTTGCAGCATTGATGTGGCTTTGCTTGTACCTTGGCGTTGTCTTTTAGAATAGCAAATTTATGACTTTGCACACGCGATGAAAGTATGTTGAATGTACTTTTGCCTGTTTTTCTATAACCCGAACCATTCTTTATTTATCTAGTTTTTTTTTCGACAAAATCTAGCGGTACCAGCACTGTTATATTGGAAATGAGAACTGGAACGTGTGAATAAAGTTTATTTTTTGTTAAAATATTGAAATGACCGATAAATATATAATTCCTAAATTTTAGAAATACCCTAAATCTGACCCTACACTTTGACTATCTATTATTATTTTCATCTTTCTCTCTCTCTCTAAAATTAACTGAAATAATATATTGTTTTTCTCTATTGCTAAATGGTACAATGGTTAATAAAATACTCATCAGCAGTCGAGCTTTTGCATATGACTATTTGTTTATGCATTAGGTAAAAGATTAAAATATTATGTATCCTTGCAACTGTTATTGAAATTCACTAGTCGAATCATTTACATCTCATGAGTGAGCTGCGTGCAAACAACTTGGAGCAATATCTTTAAAGTAATATCCGAACTACAATCACGCAAATGCAAGAGAGCAAGCGCGTGGCTACTCGTTTGACAATGTAGCAGTATCGCGCACAGTCAAAGGAGAGAAGAAAGCGTGAGCTGCTCCGTGCGTACGAGCCAGTATATGTATCTTAATGCTAAACATGCACTCGTCGCAAGGGCCAATAAGCGTAAAAGCTCGCACAAACGAGTTGTGCTTTTCTCGTTTGGCGCCAGCGGCTCTATGTGTGCGTGTGTGTGCTAGAAGGGAAAACAGCTCGCCGGCAGTGGCACACACGTATGCATGCTTTTACGCGCGAGCCGAGAGCGAACGCGTATAAGCGAGTAAAAGCAAGTTAATTTACAGAAACGTTTGAAATAAGTCGATGTGCTGTACCCGCTTTTGGTATGCGAGCTGTAAATCACGCCGTTGGCATTGATTTCGCTCCTTTGCTTAGCTAAATGAGACTTGGCACGTAAACGAGAGCCAAAATTGACTTGCCTTAAAGTTTTGATCGGTCCTTGAATAAAAATATCATAACAGTGAACATAACGGTGTGAACCAGCATTATACTGATTCACTGACAGTTTTGATGGACACTTTGCTAACATTAGGAAAAGGAAAAAGAATCGAAAGTAGCAATAATAGCCGATCGAAGAGTCACTATCATAATTTTTATCGTGAGCATAAGCTGGTGTGGGTAAGATGACACCCAATTATTTCAAATAAAATGGTCATTGGTCAAGCAATAATTTTCAATTAATCGCTCAAGCCATGAGTAAGACATGTTGTTCTATTATTGGTGCGAGCGCGGTTCCATTTATCCGTCAAAAAACTTCAAATCTTGAAAAATTACTCCGAGACGTTTTCGCGTTCGCAATATACCAGGACTGAGATCAACGCAGTACTCGTTTTTCAGGTCTCTCTCTTTCTCTACCTCTCTCTACTGTGCGTGTGTATGACATTTATAATCAAACGCAATATGTTAATAAGACATAAGCATCGTGCATCAGCGGTAGCACCAGCCACTGCTGCAGTAACAATAAATTAGATGTATTCATTATTGTAAATCACGCAAAGATCCAGCCAAACCAACTTCTCGAGAAAGGTAGCCATATCTTTGGGCATATAGCATCAGGCTACTACTAGACAACCAGAATTAATAATCAAAATAGTTTCTCTTTCGAAAAGAAAGAAGAAACTCGTCCCTATAAGTGACTATATAGGCATATTACCAAGCACATCCTTTTCGTTTTTTTTCCTTCGTAAGGCTGTGTGTACGAGTATTTATACACGCTCTGAGTATTTTACACGCGCAGCTTTGAGATTTTTTTTAGAGAGGGTCAAGTTCTTTTCAAAATAGGCGTGGAAAAAACAGAAGAACAAAGCAGCAGCCGCGTGTTTAAAAATAAATTGCACCCTGCGAGTTTTGAAGCAATTGATAATATTTGCAATGATTCGATAAATTATTTTTGCTTCAGCAAATACAGTGACTGCTTGAAAAGAGAAATCAGAATTTCTAGTAATTCGAGAACTGGTGCACGTGAGACTTGAGCTATTAGAAATAAACATCGGTCGAAATTCATGTATTACAAAAGATATCTCGACATTTTGTTGTCCTTGATTCTCTTGACAATATATAGGCAGACCAAGGATATCGTTTCATCCAAAATCAAGATTCTCACAATTTATTTCTTTAACGAACTTTGACACACTGTTTTGATCTTGATTTAGCTACATACATTTTTTATTTTAATTAATTTAGCACGGAAGTGAGCTCTGCTTCTCACTATGCTTCTTTTGAGATTCGCTTCTGCCCTAGGCTCTATGTCACATTGAAGTA